CAAGCACAGGAGAGCTTGAGGTGGGCATCAGAGGAGACTTGATAATTTAGCCCTAGGCTCAAATAATGGCAGAAAATAATGGGACTTTGTTTGGGGAGAGCTCTTGTGGTTAGAGGAAAGACCACTCTGGGTTTTGGACACAGGTTAACCTGGGATTGATTCCCACGCTATCAGTAGATAGCTTGTGGTATGTTTTGCCCTGTCCACAGTGATGATAATGACAGTTATCATGTTCTTCTGAATATAAGGCAGCCAGTGAGAAGATTCACTCTCATTTCCCACTATGTATATATGTACTTATAAGGCTGTCATTAAAATAGTTTAATGTTAACTTATGATATTAATGTGTTAATTTAGTAACATATTTTTAAAATCTTTCTTTCTTCTGTTTAAATCCCCACCCAGGGATACTTTCATTGATTTGAGAGAGAGAGGAAGGGAGAGAGAGAGAGAAACATCGGTCTGTGACCTTGATTGGTTGCTTCCCATACATGTTCCAACTGGGGATCAAACTTACAACTTAGGTATACACTCTGACTGGGTATCGAACCTGCAACCTTTTGGTGCATGGGACAGTGTTCAACCAACTGAGCCATCTGGCTGAGCTTAAAAATATCTTATATAAAATTATACTTTACCTTAGTGATATAGCTTTTTTTACTCTTACATTTTATGATACCTTTTTTTTTTAAGCCTGTACCACCTGTACCACATATCTTTGGCCTCAATGTCTTTGCTCCCAATGGAGCCACTTTTTGAATTCTCTAACTTTATTTCCCAGAGCATCTCAACACTCTATTCAAGTTGTTTGAGATGAAGTGCCCTTTGGAACCCTGTATGGTGCCGTCCTTGGAAATTTATCTCGTTATGAGAACCCATTAGGATAGCTTTTTATGTTTTACTCATCCTGCTTTTGACTGTGATTCCCACCTACTGAACTGTTCTAAGTGAACTCTAAAATCTTGCCTATGACAGGTCCAACATTTGTGATCATATGTTCACAGGTGCCCTTTCGGTGCATACAAAAATGGCATTGAGTAATGTTACATCAAATTAGTGTGTCTACCCTAAACTGTACTTTCTTGTTCTCATTTAATAACTGAGACCTATACAATATGAACTATTGTTTCATCAGCCAATACAAGGCTCTTATTTTTATAAGAATAATTTTAGTAAAATCTCATTTTCAAGTCAGGCAGAAACAGTATTCTACAAGATTGTTGTGATGAAAGAACTCAGACCATGGCGAATACATGACATTTTGACATGACCCCTTTGGTATAGATGCAGTGGTCTTGATGCCAGGTGTGGGTTCACATAGTCTAGAAATCAAGCCATTAAACATTCTGTTGCTTTAAAAAGTTACCAAGTAGTATATAAAACAGTCATTTTCACCCCATGCATAAGCTTTGTAGTCACATCAACCCTGAGATGAGGATAAAGGCACAAGTGGGGAGGGGGATGAGAGATGAAGTGAGGAATTGGTGAGATTCAGAGATGGGTTAAGTGTTGGTGGAAGAGTTAGACATAATCTGGCAGCTAAACCACAACTAACCAAGAGTAATGTGTTTATCATACTTACTAGTATTTATTCCAGAAAGGGACATCAGTCATTCTTTATGAAGCATCTGCGCATGCTGCATCTTACCTGGTGTGAACCTTAGATCATTTGATTTCTATCTTCATATTTAATAGCAATACTTTGGTATCGACTAATAAACTTAATGATTGAAAGTGGAATTTGATTAATAACATAAATTTTGATGCTTTCCATTCTAAAATGTAGAGGTTGGACACACCTACTTTTTGTAAGTTTCCTTATTCTTCTAATCTTATTTGATTGCATAGTTACTAGGCAGCAGTTTTTAAGGGGCCAAAAGAGGGTGTGGAGGAACGTATTTGAACTTCAGATGTTCGTGAAATTTTCAATTACATTTTAACAATTACAAAGACAACCTCAGTAATACATATATTCAAGTTGGTGTCACAATAGTTCTTTAACCTGATAGTTTGATGATCAAGAAGTAACAGTGTTTAGAATCACAGCTAGTTTAACAGGTTTTCTAAAAATATCTATTCTCTTTTTTCTGATTATAAAAATCCAAATAATCCAATGTAGCCTCCCATAATTATAGTTGATAGTTGATTAGGCCAGGGGTGGGCAAACTTTTTGCCTCGAGGGCCACAATGGGTTCTTAAACTGGACCGGAGGGCCGGAACAAAAGCGTGGATGGAGTGTTTGTGTGAACTAATACATGTTAACACTGCTGCTGGTGAAGGAGCGGAGAGGAGAGCAAGAGAACCCTCCGCTCTTTCGGCTCCGCGGGCCGATAGAACAGCCGAACGGGCCGTATCCAGCCCGCAGGCCGTAGTTTGCCCACGGCTGGATTAGGCACTGAATAAAGACATGAATATGTGTATGGCATATTAATTGAAAAAAATGAGTTTTACATTTTGACATGTCCATTTTGATGTCATGATATTAACATGTCTGGCACATGCAGAAAACATTTAGAAAATCATAAATTGTAGTGCTTTTTGCATATCCAGATCAGTTCACCAAAAGAGGAAGAGCAGAATAATGATTAGACATATGCATAGAGTTCCCTTTGCTTTTGCTTTTAATATCTACAGAACCCAACCTCAATGGAAAAGATTGAAGATAATAAGGATAATTATGTGTAGGTGATGGAGAGAATGGTACAGAACTAATGTTGGGGGAGGAAAAGACTAACTGAGATAACAAAAAAGATACTATAGAGCCAAAACCGGTTTGGCTCAGTGGATAGAGCGTCGGCTTGCGGACTGAGAGGTCCCGGGTTCGATTCCGGTCAAGGGCATGTGCCTGGGTTGCGGGCACATCCCCAGTTGGAGATGTGCAGGAGGCAGCTGATCGATGTTTCTCTCTCATCGATGTTTCTAACTCTCTATCTCTCTCCCTTCCTCTCTGTAAAAAATCAATAAAATATATTTGAAAAAAAAAAAAAGATACTATAGAGCATGAGAGTTAATGGTAATCAATGAGCAGTTTTACAGTTCAGACCAGTACAGTTCGGAATTTTGCAGCTGAGAAACCTAGCTGATTACTCAAGACTATTTAGGAGCTTTATATTAGAGTCAATATTGTCATTTAGGACTTAGAGAGTGAGAGTAGTTGGCAGTCACAGTAATTATGAAGATTTCCTTTTGGATTGGGATGTTTTAGTATGTCACAGCAGGGTCATCACTGCACCACTTTTCTTTTTTTTTTCATTGTTTGAGAAATATGTTAATTAAATATTTTGTTTAATGAATTAATTGTAGAGGACTCTCTTTTGCATTTCCAAGCCCCCAGTGAATTAATATCTGAGGTTATAACATAGTGCTTTCTCTTTTGCAAGCTTTCATTAGTTAACTGTTAGAGTCTCTCCAAAAACCTTGTCAGTTAATTTCAGTATAAAATGTTTTCTGCATACCAGAGGGTCTTGAATTACGTGAATTTACACACCACTAGTAACTCAAGAAGATCAAGCCCCTATTTTCCCCTGGAAGCACCTCCTCTGAAGCACTTCCGGGTGGTGTCACTGTTGTTTTCGATGGCACCAAATAGTCATAACTGCTAACCCTCGTGTCCCACCCGCCGTGGGGAACACTGGCGTCCAGCGCTGTTTCTTAACATCTCAGGTGACGGTCTGAGGTGCAGTGAAGGGCATGGAGCTCAGCGCACAGAATGATTTGGCTTCGGCACCTTGGTTTACTTGCCCCCTTAAGAGTCATAAAAAATTATAAAGTTAACATTCCATACATTCCATACATTAATACCCAAGAGTTTCATAATAGTGGGGATTCTATATTTGTGTGTGCATTTATACAATTAATATTCGGGTCAATATTACTTTGGACCCAAGTGTGCTACAGGCAAAAGAATGCAGACTTTGAAGTCAGAAGGACTTCCTTTATAATGTAGATTCTACTGAACCAGTGATGTAATTTCGCCAAGCCTCTATTTCTCCACCAGCGAATTGATAAAAGTGCCCATTTTCTTGGCGATTCAAGAGATGTGTAAAGTGCTTAGCATGCAGGATTGAGTGGGTCAGCAGTAAACGGTTACGATGGGGGTGATGATGATGGTAAGTAAAATGCGGATCTGTGGTCACAACATGTGTGGTATAACATAAACTATTGGTTTTCCTGATTTGAGACACACGCTTTCACCTTGCATACTGCACTAGATCGAAACCACTCCTTCCATCTTGGACCTTGTATTTTCTCATCAATGTGGTAAATGTAGGAGAAAGATCAAACCGTCTTGTCTAGAGCTGACTCACTAGCAATTAGCACTTCCATAGCTTGATTTGTTGCAAGTGTGAGTTACTATCTAGAGTAGTTTTGAAATTGACAGCTGCTCTTGACTTGTACTGCTTCGTGACTCCTCCCACAGGATAGAAGTCTAAAGGAATTACTATCACACAAAATTTCAGACACCATTGGTATTCTAATGTAAGGTTTATTTTGCTCAAAGAATGCCTTTTTAAAAAATTCTGGTGAGAATTCTGAATGGAGAGGTGACAATATTCGGCAGAAGCTGGGTGATGGGTATATGAATTTCATTATATAGTTACCTGTACGTATGTGTAGGTTGGATGCTGGGAGCCGGTCCATCCTTGCTGTTTCAAGGGACCTGGCATATATGGCATACTGTTCTTAATATGTTTGCTCACCTTCTTGGCGCTATGTGTTTTAACCAAGGTCACCTCTCCGAGAAAGGTTGTTTCCCCAGGTAGAGATTTTCCCCTGAAGTTAGGGAATAAAACCCCTTCACTAAGTGCCAGGCGGGTAATTAATCTCTTTAACTACGAACAATCATGCTTAAGCTACATAATCTTTACTCTCTGGAATGGAGATAAGAAACGCCCTAACCTTTGGAATAGAGATTGATAGGATTGAATCAGCTGGTATATATACAGATGTAACAAGACAACAGGACACAGAACTTAGATGAAGATCCTAGACACAGAACTTAGAAGACAGAGCCTACACAGAACCTAGAGACAAAAGAATTTCGCTGGAGAGAACATGGCAAAAGATCCTGGACAGAACCTGGCTACAGAACTTGGTTGGAGAACCTAGACAGAACCTGGCGACCGAACCTGACTAGAGAACCTAAACCGAACCTGGCTGGAGAACCTAGCGAGAGAACATGGACACAGAACTTGGCTGGAGATTGTGGCTAGAGATCCTGGCAAGGCTGCTGATCAACTGAATGCTGTCTCCGTGTCATTCCTTCTTCGCCGACTCCGTCCACACCTTTGGGGACCCCTGGACCTGCTGGGGTTGGACCCCAGCAGTTGGAGAATTTCCATATTAAAAAATTTCTACATTTTTAAAAAAATATATTTTATTGAACTTTCACAGAGAGGAAGGGAGAGAGATAGAGAGCCAGAAACATCGATGAGAGAGAAACATCGATCAGCTGCCTCCTGCACATCCCCTACTGGGGATGTGCCCGCAACCCAGGTACATGCCCTTGACCGGAATCGAACCTGGGACCTTTCAGTCCGCAGGCCGATGCTCTATCCACTGAGCCACACCGGCTTCGGCAAAAAATTTCTACATTTGAAAAATTCTGGGGTGGTTGCCTTCTTGGTGAAATATTCCAAAGCAATAGGCATGCTTTAGTCCCTGTCTGGACTTCACGCAACCACCTTGTAGGTATTGCTTCTTGTATTGTGTCATTATTTGTCGGATGAGATGTTTTAAAAGGGTTAAAAAAGGTGAACACTAATTTCAAAAGAAATGTGAGAACATTATCTCAGTGCAAAGAGATGAAGCTTAGAAAAAAAATCTCTCAGGATAGCTGCAATGTGACTGTCCTCTGATTTAAGGATTTTGTAAGTAAAATCCTCTATGCGTTCCAAATCCTTAGTTTAGCATACATTTATATTTAACTTTCCCATCAGGAGAAGTAATCAATGCGGAGGCATTATTGAAATTTAGAAATTCTACCATATATGGCACTTAAATGATAAAGGATGCTCAAATCTAGCTCTCACTGCATTTACTAGTAAAGAGCCGGTTAGAGTAGATACAGGAAAATTCCATCAGCACAGTAGACTGTCTGTTTAACAGATCCATGTATTAAAGACTTATGCTAAATTTGAGTCTGTGGTGTGTAAAATAACATCAAAACCTAATATAAAGTGCGTTTGTCACATTGTTTCCTCAAGGATGTTTACAAATAGAATGTATTTCTCTTAAGCCCGAATTGTGTCCATGGGACTTGGTGCCACAGATGACCTCAGGGCTTGTAGTCACCATCAAGCTCCATCCTCCTACTTTGCAAGAGCCCCCTAAGTGCCCTGCCCTAGTTAACATGGTTTACGCATCTCTCCTCCTCTCCAGCTAAAAGCTAGTGGTCAACTTATATCTCCTGCCCTATGTCATGCCAACCAGAAAAATGGTGTTTGTTTTCTTCTTTCCAAATGAGTTATGGTGCAGAGCAGGGGTGGGGAACCTTTTTTATGCCAAGGGCCATTTGGATATTGATAACATCATTCATTTAATATAATACACAATATAAATTTAGGTTGCTATGAAAAAAGCTCCTAGATTTGTTGAATTTTGAGTCCTGCCTGGGTTTGCCTTGGCAGGACCAGACCAAAGGACTTTGTGGGCCTTTCACTGCCCATAGGCCAATGTTCCCCACCCCTGGTGTAGAGCTCGGATCTTGGAGTCAGACAGAATTCAGTTTTAGGCCCTGATACTGCTTTTTAATAGCTATGATACTTGGGTCTCACAAATTCTTAGATTCCTTTTCATAAATTGGAAATAATAGCGGTATCTATCCTATAGCTCTATTGTGAAAGGAAATAGATACTGTTCCTCACTTATCTGGCATCCAGTAAATAATTGTGTGAATATCCGTTGTTATTATTATGATTCTGAATCACTGACTTAGAAGTCCGAGTTTTGAACATGTTGCTTGCTGCTGCCCAAAGTTGGAAATTGCCATCTTTTTTGGTTGTCATGGAGAATTCAAAGATGAATTTTTTGTAATTTTTACTTGGAAGGGAAGGGAGGAGAACTTTGAGTCTGAAACCAGAAGCACATGGGGGAAAAGTAGACCCTAGCGGCTATTTGACTAACTTACACATGTGCCCTTGCACACTGGATTCAAGCCCAGATCTTTACATAACAGCATTCTATTTAGGAAGAAGTTGTGAGGACACAGCTCCATCTGCTCACGTCCCTGATGACTCAGCAATGGAATCAGGCTGTGTGCCCAAGAGAGTACAGAGGGAATGCCTGCTGCCCATGAACATCAATTTCTCAGGTTTTCCACTAGAAACCTGGCCTTCTAAATCCCTAGGTGGTCCTTCCCCTTCTCTACTACATGATGAGATTCATGATTAAATGCCAAGAATTACTCACCAGAGAGAAACAGCATATCCCTGAGGGGGTGCTCTGTTTGTGCTCAGAAGCCAGCCACTGGGTGTGTTTTTTTCTGGGGCCACTTGGTAGGAACCCTGGTACCGGTCTATGTCAGACACTGCCTGTGACTGACCTGAGGCTACCTAACAGGAGCTACAAAGTTATTCATGGTTGTTAGCTGCCTTCGCTGGGCCTGGATGTGCATGGGAGGGATGGGCCATGCTGTACGCCAAGGCCCAGCCTGGGCGGGTCAACCAACGGTCTAAGTCCCCATGAGACCTGCCTCCCCTGTCGCCTGCCCATAAGGCTCATTTGCTGCAAGAGCCTTGGCGATTTGCACATTGGATAAGGCAGGGTCTCAGGGAGTCACTATAGTTGGGTGAGTGTTTTCACCAGGTTAATACATTTTCAGATTTGGCACCAGTGCTGGGCCTGAGGCTACTCAGCAAAAGTCTCAGGGTACACCAATCCCAGCTGCCATTTTGGCCTGTGGACCTTTTCAGTGGGGGATGGTTCCAGGGATTTGTCAGGGTGGACCTAGTGCAGTTCCAGTTCACCAGACTAATGCAGATTCATTTTCTGCTGTGTGGGCGGAGGGCTCAATGCAGGGACAATGGCAGCCGTTCCTCCAGGGCATGTCTGGAAGCCACAAAACTCAGTATCTTCCTGGATTCCCCTCCTCCTTTCTGCCCTCACCCCCAGCCAACATCCCATCTTCTGGAGCCCAAGGTGTTGTGAGCTGGACCTTTTGGGGTATACCTGGGTTTTCAGCAGCCTTCTGTCTCACCAGGTTGGACAGAATCCCTGCTGATTTTCACAACCAGATGTTATATAGACTTTTCTTGTCAGCACTAGTGTTCCAGGCTGGGCGCCCAGCGTAGGGTTGAAATCCTTTTCTCCTCAGGGGGGGCCTCTGCAGCTGAAATATAATTCTGGATTCTCAATCGCCACATGTGAGTGGGGGCTAGCTCACTTGGTGTCTCTGCCCCTCCTACCAGTCTTCCCGTGGCTTCTTCAGTATATCCTTAGTTATAGGACTTCTGTTCAGCTAGTCTTCAGGCAGTTATTCAGGTTGATTGTTCTATAATTTAGTTGTAATTTTGATGTGGTATGGGAAGTGGTGAATACTCCATCCATCTATTTTGTCATCTTTTCTAGAATAATGTGTTTGTGTGTTTTTAATTGATTTTTTTTTTAGAGAGAGAGAGAAAGAGAGGGGTCAGTGTGAGAAAGGAACATTGGTTAGCTGCCTCCTGCATGGTCCCCAACCAGAGGCAGAACCTGCAACTTGGGCATGCACCCTTACCAGGAATCGAACCTGCCACCTTTTGGTTTATGGGATGACACTCCAATCTACTGAGACACACTGGCCAGGGCATGCATTTCTGTTTTAAGCTAAGTGTGATTATAAAAGAGTCAAAACGTTAAAAAAAAATACAGCTTTTCCAGTAAACTAAAAATATTACAGTAAGCCAAGATTAATTTATTATTGATGAAAAATAAATTTAGTGTGCAGTGTTTATAAAGTCGACAGTAGTGGACAGTAATGTCCTAGACCTTCACATTCAATCACCTCTCACTCACTGACTCGCCCAGAACGACTTCTAGCTCTGCAAGCTCCATTCATTGTAGGTGCCCTATACTGGAATACCATTCTTTATCATTTCTACTATATTTTTACTTATCCTATGTTTGGATA